GAGTGAACTGCCCGTGCCAGCCTGTTCAACAAAGTATGCATCCTCCTGTCTGATGACCCCAGCTGCTTGGTGTGTGTGTGTGTGTGTGTGTGTGTGTGTGTGTGTGTGTGTGTGTGTGTGTGTGTGTGTGTGTGTGTGTGTGTGTGTGTATGTGTATGTGTATATGAGCATGTGTGTGCGTGTGTTGATTTTATTGGTGTCTGGAGACAGGTTTCTAACTGAAGCATGGCTGGGTTGGGTAGGTTGGAAGCCCTGACTACAGTTTCAGTAGCACCTGTTGATGTGAACTTGTTGGATAATGTTAATGGAGGCAGCTAAGGTTCATGAGTACATAATTATTTGGGGATTTAGTCATGAGATTGCTTTTCCACAGACAAGTAGCATGGAGACAGGATACAGCTTAATGGTAGAGTATTTGCCTAGGATCCAGGAGCCCCTGGGTTCATTCTACAGCGCTGAGAAGAGGTTTCTAGACCATCCTCCAGCCTCTTTGTTTTAATTGTCTGTTCCTGGGTACCATCTACCTTAAACACAAGATCTTAAATCAACAAACCCTACAAACATATTTATTATATGTACGTATGTACGCCTGTATGGGTTTATGTGTACACGTGTACAGGTGCCCTTGGAGGTCAAAGAGCATCGAGTTCCCTGGAAGCGCAGTTGTGAGTGGTTGTGAGCCATCTGATGTGGGTGCTGGAACTGAACTCAGGTCCTCTGCAAGAACAGTGCTCACTCTTAACCACGAACCATCTCTCTAGCCCCCATGCAACAAAATGTTTCTTCTCGGGATCCTGTGGCTGACAAGGCTCTGCTGGGTGGTTCTTTGGCTCTCTGCGGCTGAGTCACCTGTGGGCTGCTCTCAGCTGGGCCTGAGCTAGACTGGAAGTACAAGAAGCCCCCGTCTCTCTCTCTTTGTGGTCATACTTCATGAGGTTTGTGAACTGATTTACAACATGGTGCTTGTCCTGCTGTAAGGCAAGCCCCGATGACCGTGAACTCATCAAACTATTGCTCGTGCTATATTTGCTAGTGTCTCATTGGCTAATGCAAGCCACATGGTTGGGTCAGGCTTGAATGTGCAATGGGATTCTTGGGATTTGAGAAATGGAAGGCACGTGTCATTGGGGCCAGAGATGCCACAGTTGAGCACAGCCATTTCCCCTTTCCTTCCTGAGGAGTCATCCAAACACTCCACAGCACAGACAGTACAGCAGCCACAGCAGGCACCTGAGTCTGTGGTAACGGAGCTGCCTCAGAACAGTGCATTTTTCAGCTGGGACTTGGTGCTGATGTCCACCCCTCCTGTCCTGTGTAGGACTTGCCGGAGGTCACACAAAGCCAGACTCCTCTGCCACTAGTCCTTGTGCCCTGGGCTGTCTGATGCTGCCTCCTGCTCACTGGCTTTGGATGTGACCTCCAGTGAGGCCCATCATGAAGATGAAGCCTCCAAACGTCTTTGGTCACCTTCAGGTCTTTGCCACGAAGTGGACCTGTATGGAATTGCTTGTCTGTCCCTCCCCACCCGCCTACCTCTGTTCTCCCCTTCTGGTTCTGTGCTGGGGCTCAGCATCACAGTCTCACCTTCACATACCTCTCCGGTGTCTTCTTTGTGGAGCAGCATGGTGTGAGTTGCACGCAGTGGGCTTGGGAACACTTCTTGTCTCTTTGGAGACTTGACCTGGGGCTAGCTGTGCATAAGAGCTGGGTGCAGGTTGACAGCACTTAGTGTTGTGGTTTGATGAGAAATGTTTCTGATAGGCTCATATGCTGGAACACTTGATCCTCTGGTGGAGCTTGGGGAGGTAATGGAACCTTTAGGAGGTACAGCCTTGCTGGAGGAAGTAAGTCCCTGGAGGCGGGCTTTGAGGGTTCATATCCAGCCTCACTTCTGATCCTGCCATGAGGCTATGTCTTCCCTGCTGTTAAGAACTCTAACCCTCTGGAGCCAGAAGCCAAAATAAACCCTTTCTTCCTTAGTTGTTTTGGTCATGATGTTTTACACAATAAAATCTGATGCACTTGGTATCCTCACAGGTCTGTGCTCTCCTGTTTCCCAGGAGCTGTTGGTGTTCCATCTCAGCACAAGTCCTCTGTATCCTATGTTTGGCCAGGAGGCAGACTGCAAGGTCGGCGTTTGGGAGATGCACTGAGAATCTGTGTTCAGTGCCTGGAAGCTCCATCTCCTCCTCCCTCTTCCTCAAGTTAGATCATGCCCTCTTGCACTGCTGTGAGAGACAGACAGACAGACAGACAGGCAGGCAGACAGGCAGGCAGGCAGGCAGGCAGGCAGGCTCAGGAGTCCCAGGACATGAAACTCATCGGCATCTCTGGAGGAGAACTACCATAGGATGTGTGGCCTTTTCTGAAGCACAGAATATTCATTGTATTGACGTTGCTGGTGACAGACGATGATAACACTAAGTCTTCGAATGGGATGCTGAGGAGCCAGAGAGGCTCTGATGAAATGCTCACCTTCAGCAGTTCTGCTGGCTTGGGGACAGATAATCGGGAAGGCACTAGGGGGTCTACTTTGCTAGTGCCTTTCTGGGACTGATTGGTACAGAGCTGAAACCCTGGGGCCCGTTCTCTGTTATCATTGAAGTGATCCAAAGATCACTTCCTCTCCTCTGCTCATTCAGATCTGGGCATCTGAAAAATAGTGAGTCAGAGGCATGGTGGCTGTAATTCTGCTCCTGATGGTCTGTGCACATGGGGAGCTACAGATGTCCCCAGAATCCAATACTCACTTGTATTTATGTAACGCCAATAGTCAACTCCACCAGCCTGTACAAAATGAGGCTACATAGGTCCTATTTATAGCAACAGCATTACCAGCTAGAAATTGATCATCCGCAGTGTCTGTCTACTTGTTATTTCTGGAATATCTGAGGACTGACCCCACAAACAAGGGTAAGGATGTGGTCACCATGCCTGCATCATTTCTGACCTCTCTGCTGTGCGTCCTGTGTGGCGCCTCCATTTCCAGCTGCTTCCACAGGGACCAGAGCCAGAAGCCTGGGCAGGGCAAGACAGCTCTTCTCCTAATCCTGAGGAGCCCAGATACCCGGGCCACTGAGCAACCCCACCAGGCCCCATGCCGAATACTCTGCTTGAGTGTTAACTTGGTTCTCCTTGTCAGCTCGGAAATTGTGAGCCCTCAAGAGAGATAGTGTGTGTGAGCAGCTTCCGGCCTTGGTGTCTCTAACTGTGGAAGCTTGAAGCCTAGCCCAGGGAAGGGTGGACAAAGGACGGAGGGTGATGCTTCTGTATCTAGCCGGACTCAAGACGTAACTGAGGGACGCCCACTGCAAATCAGCTTGAACTAAAGTGGCATTTGTTTGGCAGTGAACTAAGAAGTCACATGTAGCAGGTGACCAGGAAGGAAGAGCTGGAGGAAGCGGGCAGGAGGGGTGGGTATCACCGAGGGACCCACTCCTCTGCACCCACTCCTACCTCCCTCTCCCACTCCCTTTCTCTCTCCACTCCTTCCCCTTGTCCCCTCTGCAGCTCCTTTCCCTCTAGTTCATTGGCAGACAGCTCCTCTCCACACGCCAGGGGAACTTGTGCACCCTGTGGTCACATGCATGTGTGAAACTCCATGTTGTCTTGCTTTGGTCAGCTCTTGACAGTGTGGGGGGACTGTGCCTTTGGTCGGCTGTGCTCATCAGGAGGACTGTGCCTTTGGTCGGCTGTGCTCATCGGGAGGACTGTGCCTTGGGTCGGCTGTGCTCATCAGGAGGACTGTGCCTTTGGTCGGCTGTGCTCATCAGGAGGACTGTGCCTTGGGTCGGCTGTGCTGGCATCAGGTACTGGCTTCTGTTGGCTGCGGTGAGAGCCGTTCACTGCCTGCATAAGGTCAGTATGCCATGCTCAACGTCTGCTTTCTTGGTTTCTGCACCTGCCACATCTTACCTGAATCCTGCATGGACGTGACATGGCTAGACATGTTTCTCCCATTCCCTGCCTGCCCTGGGAAGGTGGGAGCCATTGACACAAGCTGGTGGCCCTGCAGGCAGCTTCTGTGCGTCAATTACCCAAAGAACACACGGGCCTTTTGTCTGTCAGTGTGGCTGATGCACCGGTGCACTGTGTTTGCCTCACCCCTTTCTGACTCAGACACATGGAGGATCTGAGATCCATGAGTTTAAATTTACTTTGATAAGAGAACACCAAGGGCTGGAGGAGGCCACTCCCCATCCTCCTCCTCCTCATTCCCCACAAGTCATGACAGAGGCTAGGTGCCCACAGGAAAGGCTGAGCTGTTCCTAGCTACTTTCAGTGGGCAGAGCTGGTCCAGTCAAGGCCCTGATCTCTAGGGTTCCAGGACACTCCTCTTCCAGCTGGGCCTCCCTGTGCTCCTCTGTGGCCTCCAAGTCTCTCCCAGGCTGATAGAAAGCACTCTGGTGTGAGGGAGAGCCGGGAGAGAGTCCATTGCCATGCCCCCCAAACTTGTGTTCTTCTCCAAAGGTCTCTTTTCTGTACAGACTCAAGCCTTTGGGAACCCCAGCCCCTTACCTTGGGCTCCCTCACTTCTGGTATCATTTCCTTTCTGAGGCAAAGGAATAGGTGCTTCATGGTGCTGTCCAGCCCCTGTGGCTCTTTCCTGGGGTCAGCGAGGGTGGGTTAGCCTCAGGATCTTGCTGAGCCTGGGAGCCAGCTGGAAGCGGTTTCATTGAGTACCAGGACAGAGAGAGTTGATGTATCTCTCTGCCTGTCCTGTGCTTCCTTCTCTCTAGTACTTTCTCCCTGCAAGAGGCGAAGGGAAGAGCCAAACAGGAGAGGGAGGTGCGCCTGGCTGCACAGGTAGGTCAGAACTCCCTGGCAGTCTCCGAGTGCCATCCTCCTCTGCTGCAGTTCACCAGTGCCCTTGGAGGAGTGACAGTCCATGACTACCTGTTTGCAGGGTGTCGCAGCCCTCCCAGCCTGCCACCTCCGTGTGAGCGAGCAACTTCCCTGGAGTCAGACCTGTCAGGGCCTGGAGGGAGGGAAGGAGGTAATCTTCCACAGGCAGAGGAGTGCTGCCTGCTCAAGCGTGTGAGGTGAGTACTGAGAAGGCTCCTGTCAGCAGAGCCCCACCGCTAATTGGGGGCTTTTGTCTGGGAAATGTCAGTAGGACTTGAGTCCTATTAGAAGCCATTGAAAGTGACAAATGACTGAAGACCTCCTCTGCTTACCCCAGATCTGCAGCCTCCCCCTGGCCAGGGAGTGGTACTGTGCTGGGAAAGGCACATCCTCCAGGCTACAGGGAGTGGGCAACATAGCTCAGCCACAGCTGGACAGAAATACAGCTGGGGATGACCTGCGTTTTCTGCAAATGCACGGAGCTTTTCAGGGTCTGATGGTGCTATCTGCAGGAGCTTCAGAAATCTGGGGCCTGGGAGGCTCCCGGCAGGGCTCCACTGGGTGCCACTCTTTGGCTCCAGTCCAGTATATAGCGGAGACTAGCCTGGGTCCCTCCTGGGTCTTCCCTCTGGGTGGCAGTGACAGACACCAAATGTACACATTAAAGAGTCGTGAGACAGCACGATGACGAGGGGGCCGAGCTGCAGGGACAGATGTGCGGGTCCCGCCCTCGGCCCTTGTGCTCCCTTCCAGTTCTCTCCTCACTGTTCTGCTTGGTGTTCACTTGAACTGCTTCCCCCGCTGGCACTGGCTAATTTAGCGAGGGTCACAGGCCTGGAAGGGGTCATAGGCATGGGGTCATGGGGGATCACAGACATGGGAGGGTCACAGGCCTAGGAGGGGTCATAGGCATGGGGTCATGGGGGATCAGAGACATGGGAGGGCGGCAGGCGTGGGGTGGGGGGCACAAACCAGGGGCACATGAGGAACTTACCGTAAGCTCCAGGCTGGGGAGCTCTGCCAGGCTTCATTCAGTCCCAGGCTCTCCACTAGAAACCAAGCCTCCCCTCCCCTCTCGCCCATCTGGCAGCCGCAAGGCTACTCCTGGATGTCCCTGAAAGCCTAATGGATGGTACCAGTCTGATGCCAGCTCTAATTCTACGGTGCGGCTTGTTTTCCTCTATCTCCCTGAGGAGCGGATCTGAAGCTTAGGTTTTTTAGGAAAAGGCTGTCACACAGTTTGAAAACAGGGCTGCAAGCGCCCCCGGCTGAAGGCAGCTCGGGAAATGGAATGCTACATCTTAGAAGTGTTTATCAGCATTCGGGGGGAGATAAGTCGGGGATCAGAAAGGAAATCTTGCGGAAACATTGGTAATTTGTCCTCTCTGGTCAGATTATTTGCTCTTCCTACCAAGCGTGTATGCCTTTATCCAGAGTCCAGGCTGGAACGGGACCACTGGGTCCTAGCCAGAGACTGAGTGAAGACTTGCTGCGTGCATTCACTCATCTTGTGCAGGCTCGGGAGCCTGAAGGATGATGACAGAGGGGAAGGAATTCTCCCTGGAAACCAGCACACAACTAAAAGGCACCTGTAGACTTGATAGTTCTATTTTTTTCTTACTATTTATTTTAATGTGTATGGGTATTTTGCCTGCGTGTGTTGGGATACCATGTGCATGCAGTACCCACGGAAGCCAGAAGAGGGCATCACATTCACTAGATTGGAGTTTACAGAAGGTTGTGAGCTGCCATGTGGGTGCTGGAAATCAAACCCAGGTGATCTGGAAGAGCAGCCAGTGCTCTTAACCACTGAGCCATCTCTTCAGCCCCAGAAGTTCTTTGAAATATACCTACAATCCCACTACTGACTCCAGGTTAAAGACAGGAATTTATATTTGCAAAGTGCCCTGGGTTGAAGTACAGGTGGGAAGACCCAGATACAGAATATTCATTGCAACATCTTCTCTAGCTGCCTATCTCAGCATCCAGGGTCCAACAAATGCTGACTTCCCCTGCCCTTCCAAATGGGGCAAGGGCGGCAGAACAGTCTGTGCTAGCAGTAAATGGGGGTGTGCCAGTCCCGCTTCCCTCGGTGCTGGGACCAACTTCACTTCTATTTATCACTCCATCCTACCTGCTGCTTTCTTACATCAGAGTTAAGCCAACAGCTTTTGCAACTGAATACCTCGAAATGCAAGTCTGATCTTTCTGCGTATATGTGTGCACGCTCACTCTTGGACTTTTGGGGAGTACATGCAAATCTATCACGAGTTGAAAATATTGTAAGACAAAATGCATTTATTACACCTACTCTACCAAACAGCAGTATGGACTAACCTGTGCTCAGTTGGCCAAAGCCACCTATTGGAATACCTCACAGGGTACCTGTATCCAAAAATACTAGCCACTAAGTCCCATGTAGAGGGTTGCCTGTCAGTACACAGGATCACATGACTGTCTAGCAACAACTGCCACCTAGCATCTCAAGATGCTATCATACCGTGTGCCAATAGCCCAGAAAAACCCAAATGGAGAGTGTGGCTCCTACTGAACGCAGAGCTTTGGTGAGATTGCAAAGCTGAAACATCATCCATCACACAGTTCCCATCTATACATATGTGCACACCCACAATGTGTGGGTGTGTGTGAGCATATATACCTGTCCTCTTTCTCTTTTTCCTCCACAGTCTCTTCCAGGTATTTGAATTTGGAATCCTGACCCTCCTTTTGGGGTTGCTGTGAAGATTTGGGAAACTGACGTATGGGTACTGAAATAATCCTGAAGTTGGTAATCCTGAAGCCGGTGCACAGTAAGTGCTCAGTCCCACTCTGGTCTGCATCACCAGCTGTGTTTCCTTGGGACCAGCCGACTCTCCTTCAATCCCAGGGCATTTTCTTCAACTTGCGGTGAGGCACATTGTTTGGGCTGGGCGCCACCTGGTGGCTGCTCTCCCTACTCCCACTTAGGTCCCTGGGATGTGATGATGTGAGGCCCCTTTCCTGGACCCCCTGCCCTCCTTTCTACACCCAACAGGGCAGGAATGCCCAGGCAGGGAGCAAACTTGCCGCGCCCCTCACCACTTCCTTCCTGACCATGGGGAGACTGGGGTCTGGTCTGGAAATGGGAAGTGGGCCTTGGCAGTGAGGTAGAAGCCAGGATCTTCTTGAGGGGCGTGGCTGTGGACTCCGGGGCTTGGCCCTGTCTTCCCCGGCATCCCCAACCCCGAGGGTGCCCAAAGCCAGACCCACTGGTCACAGATGGCCCAGCAGCACATCCGTAGAGATCCCCAGGCTCTTATGAGGTAATTTTATTTCTTCTCATTTTAGGTAAAAATAGTAAATACAAGATAATTTTAATAAAGGTAAAAATACATTATTTGGATTTTGTTGTTTTCTAAACAATGACAACTTTTCTCTACAGTACAATTTTTGATTTAGTGTTTTTAAACTTTTTTTTTATATAAACAAATAGAACTATTTAGCTATTAGGCTATCTGGGTTCTCATCTGGCACTTAAGAGTAGGTCACAGGCCACCTCCCGGTTCTGGGTTCTCATCTGGCACTTAAGAGTAGATCACAGGCCACCTCCCGGTTCTGGTTGTGTGTGTGTATGTGGCAGGGAGGAATGAGAAGGGACTCACAGGATGGGGAGGGTTGACTTCCCAGGACACAGCTGGAGTCCTGAGTGGGGTGGAAGGACACACATGTGCATCGAAGATGGCCTTGTCCTGCCTTGGCCATGAGGCTGGCTGGGAGGTCCTGTGTGTCGGATGGCACTTCCCCACTCCTTGGGGAAGCTCTTCTTTCCCAACAGCCTAGTTTCACCATCCTGGGTCCAGGCAGGTCCTGGGCTGAGATGTCAGCCACATGCCCAGAACAGACCCAGTGGATCCCCTTGTATCCCGGGGGAGTGGAGTGGAACCCCTCCCCAACAGGGCTGCGACTGGGACATCCAGCCTGACTTTGGAATGCTGGTAGACGTCACAGGTGCCCATCAGGCACTAAATGTCTTTGCCCTTGTTCACCCGCAGGTGGTCTTTGTTTAAGTTCTTCCCAAATTTCTCACTGAGCTGTTGGATCAAGTCTGCCAGCTCCCCCGTAGCTTGCGACTTCTCTTCGAGAAGCTCGTAGCGAAGACTCGAGATGTCTTGCTTGATTTCTTTGAGTTCACCTGCAAGGACAGAAGAGGGCTTCCTGAGGATGAGCATGTAGCAGGAAGGAGGTATTCTGCTCTGGGTGCAGGTCCAGCCCCCTGGGGTGGATGAGGCAGGGGAAGGTGTTGGGATCATGACGGTCCTTGTGCCCACAGATTTCCAGGGAAAAAAGTGCCACTCACCTGGCTTCCCACTATGCACTTACAGCCCCGCCTCCCATTCCTGAAAAGCCTCTCCTTTCACAGCTTGGAGAGGTGGAGTTCAGGGGTGCACATTTTCTGGCAACTGTTTTTTTTTTTTTTTTTTTTTTACACACTGCTGCTCCAGTGTTGGTCTCAGAGCCGTAACAGGTAGATGTCAAGAGTGAGCAAGATGCTCATTAGCTGGAACATTCATTTTCATGATGCTCTGTGGATATGTGCACCCGGGAGCAGGGCTGTACACAATGGATGCAGCCCCAGGGCTGGCCAGCTGCATGGAGCAGCTTCAGTTTGTTCTCAGAAGCAGCCTGACCTACCCAGTTCCAGCCTCCCTGATGCCTGCAGCTGCCTCCTCCCCTAATAGGGGACCACTAAGCAGTCACTTTCATTTTCTGTTTCCATAGTGGCCCACATGGTTAGAAGCCCAAGGGGTCTGGCCTGTGGGGATGTCTTTATTAAGCTCAAAGGGGAGTAGAAGGTTCTTTCCTCAAATTTTAGACACCAGACTTAATTCTGGCAGGAGTCCACCACTTGTTGGTGTATTATTCCTATCTCTTACACAGGTATGCTTAAATATATGAAGTGCAGAGATCTTACACACACAATTATACCCCCCGTTTTTATTAGGGGCTTCACTAGGCCCCAGGCTCATGGTATCATTTCGGTTAAAATGACTTCGGGGGACCCACCCACAAATTGTATATCAGTTACCTTCATGTCCACCACAGTCACACACCTGTGAGGCTGGATGACATGGCACCTGGTGATCTCATAACTGAGGCCCGAAGGAGAGGTAAGTAAGTGGGCTGCCACTCAGCCTCTCGCTCTGTCTGCTTAGCAGATAGATCGGGCATTGCTGCTTTTCAGGCTGTATACTGGGTACTCCAAGATGAGGCAGAGTGTCACTCAGCAGCTGGGCTCTTTTGGTAGCCCTTGTGGCCCCAGTGAGGGGAGGCAGAGTATCTCTAGTCATAGACAAGGGCCTTTCTGGGTAGCAAATATTTATCCGAGGTGTTGCATAATTAATGACCTGGTATAAGGCATCTGCTTCTTACCTAAGAATACTTGCTGAAAACAGACTGAAAATAACTCAAACGAGAGTGATGTAGATGGGAACTCCAGTGTGCATGGGAATTACCTGATGCTATTATCTAAAAATGGAGACTGCAGGCCTTGCCACAGATACAGGAATGCATCAGGCTGGGATCAGCACCTTAATCAGCGGGTACTGAAGATGGAGATCCTCAGAGAAACACTGCTGTTGTTGAGAGTTTCAGAATTCAGAAGAGAGGCAGGAGGGGCAGCTGGGGCTGAGCTAGTGGCAGGTTTTGGAAATTCAGACTGACCCTTTTGTATATTGCCCGCACAGGAAGGTTTGAATGGTGGGCTTCTAGGCTATCCCGAATTCAAAGGGCTTGAAGCCAACCAAGGACGCCATCACTGTGGGAGGCAGACTGATGTTCCACAC